CCACGGCAGAGTCTGTGACTTGTCTGGCCCAATTTTCCTTCTTGGGCCAGATGAGTCTCTGTAGCTCTGCTATCACTAACACTGGAAAGCTTCCCAGGACCTTTTCCTTGGCCAAGATCTGTTGCTGTGTTGACTTAACAAGCCAGCTGGTGCTGACAAGTGATCTCTTAAAAGCATTAACTCTTAGTTGCGGGAAGTCACTAAAACGTCTCCAGTGGGATGCTGTGTTCTGCATTCCTGGAGCCCTCCTGCCTCATGAGGTTCCCCTCTCCTCTGTACACCAGTGGGGTGTGAGTGTTGTCGTGGGGTTTTCTTTGTGTCCCTCCTCAGGTCTTATTGTGCTGGCTGCCATCACTCCCGAGTCATCCCTGGATTCTGGCCATGAAACCAACTCTTCAGAGCTAACAGATATCTCAGAGATGGTCTCTGCCATGAAGCAGCATCAGAACGCAGCCTACTTCCTCGCTCAACACATCAACAAAGAGAACCTCCTGGCCAGAAAGGACTTGCCCTTCCGAATCCAGAGCTGTGCTGCCCAGGCTGTGCTCACCTCCCCCTGTGCCCTGAGCCGCCAGGAGCCAAGCCCTTCGTTGAAGCCAGCTTTCTCTAACCAAAGCCCCAGCCTCACCAACTGCAAGAGCAAGCAGGAGCAGCAGCATCCTGAGAGGAGCTACCCCTCGGCTGCCAAGCCAGCGCTGACCCCTCAGCTCAGTGAGCAGAGTAGGGGGGCTCCAGTGTCAGGCTCTGAATGCAAAGGTGCAGGCCACCCTAAAGCTGCCTTTGAGGTATCTCTGCATGCCACAGCGGTCCCCAGCATGGAGCAGGCACAGGATCTACAAGAGAAGATGCCCAAAGAGGTCCAGCCAAGCTCCAAGCTCCTCCTGGATCAGAAAAGCGGTGTAACTCCAGCCATCATTGCGGCTGCGCTGCAACAAGTGGCAAACACAAAAGGCTCAGCTCCGCAAGTGACAGCAGCCTCAAAAGAGGACAGGAACATGAACGGTACCAGCAGCTGTGCACTAGCCAGCAGCAAGCCTCTGAAACCCAAAGGAGGTCCACAAACCGCAGACACATCATGCAACTGCCAGCAGCAGCAGCAGCAGCAGCAGCAGCTCCCTCCACAGCAGCACTGTGAAGACTCTCCAAGTCCTAAAGAAGCTCACGGCAGTAAGGCAGAAGCTTTCCACAGCAGCTCAGGCGAGGAAACGATGCCCACTAAGACTTCTGCCTCTAAAAGCTACCAGCAAAAAGCAGGTAGGGATGCTCCAGGAAGAGCCACAAGCGGAGAGCCAGGTCCAAAGGCGGGTGGGGAAGCCCCGAGCCTTGTCTTTCAGAAACATGCAGCTCCTTCAAACCAAGGGCAGAAAATGCAACAGGAAAGCTCAGCCAAAGGCTTCAAAGCCGAGAGTAGCAACGTGCACTCTCCATTGCCTGGTAGCGCTTTCAGAAGCACCAGTGAGGAACCCAAAGGGCCAGTCCCGCTGGTGCACAGATCCGAGAGCCTGCAGATCAGCACCGTGCCTTCCAAAAAAGCAGAGAAAGCCCTGGAGGTGACCCAACAAGAGGCTGATGTCCCAGCAAAACCCAAAGCTCCGAAAGCTTCCTTCAGGCTGAGGAACTTGTTCTCAGCAACTTTTCCAACCCGGCTGAAGAAGGAGACAGATGAGCGGCAAGCACAGCTGCAGAAGGTGAAGCAGTACGAGCTGGAATTCCTCGAGGAGCTGCTCAAGCCGAAGAGCAAAGGTGATCTCCCACCACAGGAGTACCTGCACCCTCCTGCCCCTGGGCGCTGCAGCTGCCAGCTAAGGAGCAGCCCCGTGCAGAAGGTCCCAGGGATGTCGAGGGAGCAAAGGCGTAGCTGCGACTGCAAGCGGATCTGCAGGGGGGTGAGGCCACCTCCCAACCACATGGTGATGCCAGAACTGGAGAGGAGAGGGAGAGATAAAGCTAGCAATGAGCAGAAGCAGGAGGAAGCCATTCGGTTGACAAGCATGAGCAGCCCTTCCAAAGGCAAGCGGATACGTTCCACGAGTTTAGAGTCCAGAGAGTACCGGTCAGATCCAGAGAACAGCATGTCCTGTTTGACCACCTGCGCTTCCCGGGGGGAGTGCATGGGTGCTCCACACTACAGGAAGCTTTTGCGTCGCTACAGCGTCAGTGAAATAGATAAGACTGAAAGGACATCCCTGTCCTCTGACATCTACCAGAACATCTATACAACGAAACAGAAGGGCCCACAGAAAGAGCCTGAGCCCAGCATCCTTTGTCCCCTTCTGAAAAGCAAACTCCAGGAAGCCACCGGAATGCCTGAACCCTCCTATGTCCAGATAGCACAGGAGAAAAAGAACCAGAAGGGTTCAGCAGTGTTCTCTGTCCAGGAGGAGATGTATCCGAGTCCTGCTGAGCTGCGGGATGAAGACATGGAGGATGAGAAGTGCTGCTCCATCCGGTACTGCTTCTACTACAGGAAATGCGATGTTGCAGATGACGGGAGTGAGAAGGATGAGCTGTCCTATTCCATCCCCATGCAGATACTCCCAGGAATGAAACTGGGTAATCAAATGGTCCCAGTCATGAGCAGAACTCTTCAGGTCCTGGATGCAACAGCCTGCAGCAGTCCCAGTGACAGCCAGACCCAGGAAATAGATTTAAGGACCTCCAGTTTTGAGGGGAGCCTGACAAAGATCAACGCCCTCCGAGGCCATGCCTACAGCTTTCCCAACGGGTTCCTGCAAGTGCAGCTGGACACCAATGAGCTCCTGACTATCCTGAGGCAGTGCGTGGTGAGCCCAGACGTCCGGGACTGCAAACCCTACATCTCCCAACTGGCTGAGTACAAGCAAGAGCTCGCCCTCAAGTTCAAGGAGTTCCGTGCATCCTGCCGCCGCGTGGCAGCTGTCGACAAGAGCCCTACCCACATGCTCTCCGCCATCACAAGCAGCTTCCAGGTGCTCAGCAGCCTCATCGAGACGTTTGTGAGGCTGGTGTACGTGGTGCGCTCGGAGTCGCAGCGCCAAGAGCTGCTGGCAAAGGTGGAGGAAGTGGTGAGGAACTACACCTTCCTGCTGAAGGCTGCCGAGGAGTCCACGGCCAGAACGCTGAGCCACCAGCAGGCAGTGGAGCAGCTCAGCCACCAGTCAGCCACGGTTGCCACCGTCATGAGCACGCTCACGCGCTCCCTGAAGACGCTGATCAATAAGTAAACCAGCTACGACAGCCAGCAAGCCGGTGCGTGCCGTGCGCTCGTGGGTCTCAAATCACGTAGGTCTGGTGAGGATGCGTGTCTACAGGCTCACGTCTACTGGGGTTTGTGGTGGTCACGATGCTCTTTCGTCTTTGCAGAACGGGTGGTTGCGTTGGGGGTGGTTTCGAGGTGGTTTTGCATGCCCTGCTGCGAGCTGTGCAACCAGATCATCGGGGCTGTCAAGCAGCTGTACCACGTTGGTTTGTCAGTGATGGTGCTTGGGGGGCACAGACACCCCATCTCCACACTGATGTGGAGGTTCTGGGCCTCACCTGTGCAAAGACCTTTGTCATGGTGGGCCAGTGAGTGAGCAGGAACTGAGCTGACATCTCCTGGCTTCACTTGGGCAGTTTAGAGCCAAACCAGTGTCTTGCCACGTAAACAGCTCTTCTGCCTCCAGGCTCTTCCTGGCCCACAAGCACAGCATCATTAGCAGCAGAAGGGATCAGCGGGGTGCAAGTCCCTACTGCTGTGCTAGGGCTTGGGAAGCAGTCCTAGCATGGACAGGATGCCATAATCCTGGGGCAGAGCTGAGTCACCCTACCAGACTCTGCTCACACAGCTTAGGCAAAAGGCAAGGGCTTAATGAGTGTGAGCAGGGAGGACCCAGGGAACCACGGGGCTGTCACTCTGGCCTCCGTGTCCGGGCAGGTTGTAGAGCAGATCATTTGAGTGCCATCTCGTGGCACACGCAGGACACCCAAGTGATAAGGCCCAGTCACCACGGGTTTACGAAAGGCAGGTACTGCTTGACTAACCTGATCGTCTGTGGCACAGTGAGCTGCTTAGTGGGTGAGGGAACGGCTGTGGATGCTGTCTGCCTCGGCTGTAGTAAAGCCTTTGACACAGCTTCCCACAGCATTTTCCTAGAGAAAGTGGCTTGGATTCTCGATCTGTGGCTTGGATGGGTGTACCCTTAGAACACTGCTTGGATGGCTGGGCCCAAAGGGTTGTGGTGAATGGAGTTAAATCCCATTGGTGGCTGGTCACAAGTGCTGCTCCCCAGGGCTCAGTATTGCAGCCAGTTCTGTTTAATGTCTTTATAGACAACCTGGACAAGGAGATCAAGTGCACTCCCAGTAAGCTTGCAGGTGACATGACCTGGGTAGAGGTGTGGATCTGCTTGAGGGTAGGAAGGCTTTGCAGAGGGATCTGGATGGGCTGGATTGATGGGCTGGGGCCAGTTGTGTGCGATTCAGTGCCAGCTCCTTCATTTGGGCCACATCAACCTCACACAAGGCTACAGGCTTGGGGCAGAGTGGCTGGAAAGCTGTCGGGTGGAAGAGGACATGGAGGTGGTGCTCAACAGCCACAGCATGAGCCAGCCTGTGCCCAGGTGGCCAAGAAGCCACCAGCATCCTGGCCTGTATCAGCACCAGTGTGGCAGCAGGGCCAGGGCAGTGACTGTGCCCCTGCACTGGGCACTGGTGAGGCTGCACCTCGAGTCCTGTGTTCAGTTCTGGGCCCCTCACTACAAGAGAGACATTGAGGTGCTGGAGCAGGGCCAGAGAAGGGTACCAGAGCTGGTGCAGGGCCTGGAGCACAAGTGTGATGGGGAACGGCTGAGGGACCTTGGGGGGGTCAGTCTGGAGAAGAGAAGGCTCAGGGGGGACCTGATCGCTCCCTACAACTGCCTGACAGGAGGATGTTGTAAGGTGGGTGTCAAGTCTCAATAGTGATAGGATGGGAGGAAAAAGCCTCAAGTTGTGCCAGGGGAGGTTTAATTTAGATATTAGCAAAAATTTCTTCACCAAAGGGTTATGAAGCTCTGGAACAGGCTGCCCAGGGCAGTGGCTGAGTCACCATCACTGGAGGCATTTAAAAGACGTGTGCATGTAGCACTTGGGGACATGGCTAAGTGGTGGGCTTGACAGTGGTTGGTTTATAGTTGGACCCAACGATCTTAAGGGTCTTTTCCACCCTAAATGATTCTATGATCCTGTGTTCCCCTTCCTCTGCTGTACGGCTGTGTCTACACTAGAGAGCCTGCAAGGAACCCAGACTGATCTTTGACCACTGCAAGCCAGAAGCTGGGCTAACAGCTGAGAGGAGACCTCTTTCACACCATTCTCCAGAGGTCAGGTCCGTGCTCCAAGGCTCAGCCCAAACCCTCTCCTACTTCTTTTCACCATTCCCAATTAGAGAGGAACCCAGATCAGCTTTCTCTGTGAGCCACGGCTTGCCCCTCACTCAGGCAGTGCTACTGCCACAGGCCAAGGGAGCTGCCCTACTTGCCCACGTGCTGGGGTCCTTTTCCCGTCCCCACTGGGCTGACTGCTGTAAGAAGCATTATTGAGTACTGTGTGATGGTTATTTATTTGGAGTTGGGGTCTTTTGAATTATTCTTTTTTCACTTCCAGGTGAATGGTAAAATAATTCCTGCTTCTCTTCACACCCCAAGGTTCCCCTCATCCTCCCAGTCTAGACCTAATCAATCAGACTGCCTTAACTGGTGCTTCACTGCAGTCAGCCACCTTCCAAAATGCAAGGTTACACATTTCATCACCCTTACCCTGCACTTCACACACGCACAGGGAGAGCAGGTTCTCCTGGGGTCCTGGCACCAATCCCCATCGCACCCACCTCTGGCTGGAAAGGGAGACGGTGGCATCAGCCTCCCAGGAGGAGTGAGGCGGGTTGTGAACACCAGCCAGCTTGCCCCAGCGCTTGGGGATGATCGGGGATCTCTGCAGGATCAGTCGCTTCCCATCCCTATGATTTCTTTATAAATATGCACATCCGAAATCTCTCGTTCTTCCATAGGAGTTACGGAAATGCACAATGTGCTTCTAACATGCGCATCCTCTAGCGAGTGCAATAACCTCCCCTGGCCCACGGCTGTCCCGGACTTTGGCCATTGCTGTCGGCAAGGCAGAGAGGATCCTGCTGTGGGGACAGCCTCCTGCTTTCAACAACCATGTAGCAAATACACAGTGGAAGAGCCAGGTTGGAATTTCAGTCTGTGGTGGGCAAAGCCTGTTATAATGCTGAAGGCTGACAGGGAGCTGTGTTTTTCTTTTCCCCAGGAATTATCTATTATGAAGCTCTGAGTTTCTTCAAGCTCCCTGTTATGCCCATATCATTCCTCCAGACATCTCTCAGTCTAATACAGAGGAAAATTTTTTTATTGTCTGTATATAGTATATATAAATTTAAAAAATTATATAAATTATATATATATACACAAATTTATGTCTTGTTTTACAAACAAGAAAGATTAAATATATTAATCTTAATATCCAAACTAGCATTTGTGTCTTTTTTTTAAGAACTTTGTGGCAATGTGGCTATTCCCAGCTGTACAAAGCACTGTTCATAAGCAAAACCCCCTATTTTTGTCACTATAGAGCTGCATGTATCTCCGTACTGGAAGCTTAACGACCCCACAGTGTCACTGAACTCCACACCAGTTAAGTACCAGGCTATGAAGGAAGCCACGAAGCAGCAAGAAATGCAGGTTGGAAACTGACTGTTTGACTTGGCACAGCCACTTATGTGTTGTAAATGGGCATTTTGGCTTCATTCCCCTCCAGGAGGGAATGCCTGCAGCAGCACTCACCCCTTCACTGGGCAAAGCAACCCTTTGCTGGGCAAAGCGTGGTCCTCCTGGTGCCCCTAAAGCCGGGGAGAGCCAGGATGTGCTCCAGCCCCTCTCTGTTAGCAAAGTCCTGCCTGATCCCTTCCAGATGAACCAACCTGAGTACTCACTGACAGCTCCAGTGTGTGTCTCCAGCCCAGTCGTAGGCATTTGCTCCTGTGCCTGGGAAGAGGTGACAGCCTGGTACCTGCCATCAGTGACCTGATGATTCCGCAGCCCTGTGGGACTGCTCTGGTGTGTCTGCAGGGGAAAGCCCAGCTAAAGCATAATGCCAAACCCAGGGACAAACCTGAGCCAGGCAGTTTCCCAGCTACAGGTGATGTTTCCGATATCCCATTCGTGCAGGGGACAGGCCTTGCCTGGCACAATGTACTGCTCTTTGCTTATCAGGGAGGAAAGCATTGATGTGTGCCCTTTATGCGTCCCAAAGCCTCCACAACCTATAGAAGCCAAGTCTGGTAAAGATCCAACACGAAAAGACTTAGGAACTGGGTCATTCTCTGTACGGGGGTTGAATGTGTGGTCTAAAGCACAGGCAGCAGCAGTCAAGACTCACACACATTCTCTGTGCCTCCAGGTTTGTTATTTTAATCTCATCACACCATTTCCCATGCTGAACTAACGATGACACCGCATGGGACAAAACTCACCCATTTATAAAGCTGGCTGTGGATAAAAAAAGTAAATGGAAAAGCCAAGAGGTTTCCTAACAACCCCCAGAGCCTGAAAACATCGACAGCAGGCAGTTTAATCACAAGTTCAGAGTCGATGCCTAGTACCATCTAGTGGGCAATCAGCACCCCGTCACAAAGGAATTACTCCTTCACATCACACCGTTATTATTTGCATAATGGTAGCAATAGGTGCTCCAGGATTAGTCGAATGTCCCTGTGCGAAGGGAGGAGCTGTAGTGATATGGACCCGAGGAGGATGATGAAGCCCTGCCTTCATTATTGCTGTACTCATCTTTTAGGTGCTGTCCCTCCAGCCTCACTCTGTAAATAGTGTTAAAGGAAATGATCCAGGTAAAACATTCTTGTTCATGTTTCTGAATCACAAATTTGCCCTTTCAGAGCCTCTCGGTACCTGCCTCTCTCATGCTGCCTTCGCCCTGGGGTTTTTGCTTAGCATTAATGCTGGCACAGATTTCCTCCAGGGCCTTCACAGCTCCCAGGAGCATTGCTCAGCCACAACATGCGTTTGTGACCACCTGATGCCATTGCACTCCCCCAGTCTGCTCCCTCCCTTCATCTTCTCTAAGTTATGACCTCTCTGAAGGAGACTTCACCAGGGCTCCATCAGTGCATAGAAAATGAAAACCAAATGGGCCATCTCTGGTCCCTCTAAGCCAGAAAGACCTGGCTTTCAGGGGTTAAAGTGCCAAAAGCAAGAGCTGGAAAATGAGCAGACCTCAAGCAGTAATCCCAAGATGGTTTGGATAAAATTACTTGTGTCTCTGTGGACTTTGCTGGTCATTGTCAGCTGGACACAACAACTGGGCACCACGGTTTAAAGCACTTTGAACTCTAATCCCCATGGTGTAGCGCCCACATTCTCCTGTCAGGGTTTCCATCCTCTCCAAGGTCCTGGCAACACTACAGAGGAATCACAGCAGCCCCAGATACAACAGCAGGGTGAGCTGAATAGCTGGGACCCACTGCTGCTTTCATCAGGCCCACGGGAACTGACAGTCAAACAGAAATGAGTAATGTCTAAGTTTTATCTGCATTTGAAGCAGAGTGTCTGGATTCTTGTGTAAAACATCCCAACAGATTCCTCACATAGGCAGACACAGTGGAGCTGGCTGGGACAAACGGACAAACTTGGTTGCCTTCTACAACAGGGTGACAGCACTGGTGGATAAGGGAAGAGCACAGTTGATGTCAACTATCTGGACTTGGGCAAAGCCTTTGATACTGTCCTGCACAACATCCTTGTCTCTAAACTGGATTTGACCGATGGACCACTCGGTGGATAAGGAATTGGCTGGATGTTTGCACTCAGAGTGCTGGGCTTATTCAGCCTGGAGAAGAGAAGGCTCCAGGAAGACCATAGAGCAGCTTCCAGTGCCTAAAGGGACTGACAAGAAATCAGGAGAAGTACTTTTAACAAGGGCCTGTAGGGACAGGACAAGCAGAATGGCTTTAAGATGACAAAGGGTAGATTTAGTATTAGATATTAGGAAAAAAATCTTCACTCTGAGGGTGCTGAGGCGCTCGCACAGGGTGCCCAGAGAAGCTGTGGCTGCCCCATCCCTGGCAGTGTTCAAGGCCAGGTTGGACGGGGCTTGGAGCAACCTCCTCTAGTGGAACATGTCCCTGCCCGTAGCATGGGGTTGGAACTGGAGGAGCTTTAAAGTCCCTTCCAACCCAAACTGGTCTGTGATTCTATGATCTCAGCTGATTTACATCACACAACCTTATTTAGTAGATATGAAACAAGCCTGTACACACGATAGAAAACTTTTGTGAGGGTTTTTCTGTCAGGCTGTGTAATTCCATGTCAGGGCATGAGCAGATGAGGAACCTGCCGATGCCTCATCCCACTGCAGCCACTGCACAACCCTCCAGCCCAGCTGAGATGATGCCCCTTGCTGTCACCTGCCCCCCAGACACAGAGTCAGCAGGGAGGATGTTTTGCGCAGCTGGATTACGAAGTCACTGAAGAGCAAACACGCTGTGAGAAAGTGGCAGAGATCCTAGCACTGCCTCCCTGAGGTTTGCTGCACATGCCAAGGGCTGGGGAGGGAGATGACAGGGCTGGGGACACGCACATGGTCCAGGACACTTTATGATGCTTCACGCAATACCACTTCTGAAAAGCAAAGTGGTTTTCTTCCCTGGCTTTTCTTTCAGCCAGCAGTGCAAAGGGCACAGCCTTGTGTTGCTCTTATCAAGTGCCATTCATTCAATGAACAGAACTGGCTGTGAGGCGTTGCAGTCACAAGGCAAGAGGGACTAAAAACAACCGCCGGCCACAGGCTTTCTGCATAAAAATTCATCCTTGATTAAGTGGCTGGTGGTAATTGAGTGGCAATTGTATGCAGGAATGCGCCAAGAGTGGGACAAGGGCTACTTGTCCTGATTGGCATCACCATGAAATTTGATAGAGCTCATGCGCTGCTTAAAACTTCCTGGAAAATATATTCCTGGGCCATGAAACACAAAGGTGTTTCTCATTAAGTGCATCTCCATGGAATCAGGTCAATAAAAAGGGGGTTTTGCCATTCATGTGCTTTCAGGTTCTCCCTACCTGGGCAGTAATTTACTTCACAGTTTCCAAACCATGAGGTAGCACAAAGAGCTCACACTATACACTTGTTCTTTCTACTACCCAAGCCAAGTGCTTGTCCACATTGTAAACCACAGGAAAATTAAAGTTTTTATACTCAAGTAGATAATTGCATGTATTATACTTGACTTCCAGAATTAAGCAAGCCAACTGGAATTAACTGCTTTAATTCCAAGTAAGGGTCTCCATACAAGAGCTGAGATACTCCAATGCACTTCCACATCCCAGCTTCACTCGGGCTGTGATTATTTTCCTGAGCACCCTTTCACAGACAGCCTGACTCACAGGCCAATGCTTCTGAACCACGCAGTCTCTCCCTTCATCCTGTTTAGGCCAAGAACCAGATAAACATCTCTCTCTTCAAAGCTGGTTCTCCTTGTCCCTTCTTCAGTAAATGGCAATGCAAGCTGCTAATAGACAAGCTTTGGCCAAGGACATCATGAGCAAGCTTTTGGGCTTTGTTCAACCAAGACTTTGGTGCATTAAGAGCCTCTCCTTAATCAAACCTTTTGAGATTACCCTGTTCCAAGAGCTTTACTAGCGGTACTGATGAATCATAAAGTTAGTGGACTGAAGCCCTCATAACCTAAGTGCTGTCTAACCTAAGGACATTGTGGTAGCTGAACCAGCTGAAGGGTTGCAGTGACTTGGATGTCACTCGTGGCCACTTAATGCTGCCGTGAGCAGTGCAGAGCAGTGAGATGATGCACAGCTGGAGAGACTATGAGCAGCCCCAGCACTGAGACCCCGTTTGTCTTGGAGGAACAAAAAGTGTCATCCACCAGCAGCCACACACAATCTTCCCTCCTAGGGGGAACCTTCTGCCACCTCACTGGGGTTCCTGACAACACGCTTGGCGTCGGGCTCGGAAAGGCAGAGAAACCCTCTTTGATTTTACACATGAAAGATTGCCAGTCCCGCGTTTACAGGATTAAGGATCCAATTTCATCCAATGTCAGATTGTTCACGCCTGCAGATCTCATCTCTGTGATCCCAGGAGGAAACTGATAGACGTGCTGCTTCAAAAGCCCTGTGTAGGGCAAGCTCAGACAGAGTTTATCAATGAGAGGCATCATTCACGTGTTTTAATGTACCTTCTACTTCCTCCAGCCTCAGTTTCCCCGCACCTGGTTCACAAGTAAAAGGGAAGGGGACAGGGATGTTGGAGCACAGAAGACCCTCAAGACCCTCATTCTCCATTCAAGAGCAAGGGGAAAATGGAATTTAAACCAAGACTAAAGCTAAAGATTCAAAACCACACACAGGTATTTTGGGGACTGGAATGGAGTTACTCATCTTCCAAATTGTGCCAACTGCAATACAGTAACAACCCTCCTGTAGTCTGTTTTGTGGGG